TTCAGCACACAGCTCTAAATCCCATTTAAGGTCACTTGGGAAGTGTGTGACAGAGGAAATAAATTCATGGCTTGCCTTCCAATTTCTCTACTAGCTTCCTAGCTGTTGGACCTTCTCTTTGCCATCTCAGGATTGTTTTCTTTCCCTCTGACCCAAGCCTGGAGGCTGAATTTGGGGCTGCAGGACCCAACTTGACCTGATGGGGAACGCAGTGTGATCCTGTAGCTGGAAAAAAACAGGTCCTCGGGTTTCTGCTGCTTGCCCTTAATCTATACAGCCTGAGTGACTGCCCTGAACAGGATGTGGGTTCTGACATGGCAATATATTTAATAAACTTAATTGCTGTCATTAATATGAGCTAGGGAAACATTAAAATGGATCAAGCTGCAGCAAAATCACCCTGCTCTTTTGTTACCTTCATTTTCCATGTCCTTTTCAAAAAGTCACAGTGGAACAACTAAGCAGAACATTGCACCTTTGCAACACACCGTAAACAGTGCAAACCGCAGTGAAAGACAGGCTACAAAGTAAATAACTTTTCCAATGGAAAGCATAAGTCACCTGTATATTAAACTGCAGAAATCTGTATAAATGGACAGATTGTACGGGCTGGGGTGCAATCATTATACCAACAAGTCTGACATATTGTACTGTTTCAGCGACCATACTTCACTGCAATTATTAGCCTCCGGTTCTGCCAACTCCGAGTTTAACATACCGTCCCCCTGCCAAGGCCATTTGATTATAAATAGCAAAACATCACGTAAATATAGGCATGTGGGGAGCAGATACAGCACAGAAAAGTGGGCCATTGGGAAGAAGTATTTACTTTTTTTAGGGTCTGATCCTGTACAAACATTTAGTCATGTGGATAGCTGGCTATTCTTGAGCAGTTTCCCGAAATTCAAAGAGATTATTAATCTTAAAGGCACAAATGTAGTATCTTGCAAGATCCAGTTCTTGCAAGCCTTCTCTGGAAATTTTTAATAAAAACATAGTAATTAAAATACGAGGTATATTTTGGAAACAGTTTGTTCTTCTCAAATGTTATGTATTGAAACAGCAAAATCTCATGGCCAGGTAGGCACCTCATGCACAGTTAACTATTTTTACCACAATCATTATAAAGTATGTGTGAAGTATTCGTGATTTGATAGATTTCTTCCTCATTTGTGGCTGATTTAAATGATCTGATACTGCAGGAAAAGCAGGAGGAAAAAAAAAGGAAAGCTGGAAAATGTCACTACAGGAGTGATGGGGAGGCACTCTTTATCAGTGAGTATAGTGACAGGATGAGGGGTAACGGTTTTAAGCTGAAAGAGGGCTGATTTAGACCAGATATGAGGAAGAAATTTTTTCCTGTGAGAGTGGTGAGACACTGGCACAGGTTGCCCAGAGAAGCTGTGGATGCCCCATCCCTGGAGGGGTTCAAGGCCAGGCTGGATGAGGCTTTGAGCAACCTGGGCTAGTGGGAGGTGTCCCTGCCCATGGCAGGGGGGTTGGAACTGGATGATTTTTAACGTCTCTTCCGACCCAAACCATTCTATGAGTCTATGAGTCTATGGAGCCACTTCATCATACATACTAATCATCTACCATTTGCACAGCACCATTGACTTGGGTAGATGTTCTGTGTTCAGCTTTGGAGACAAGGAGCCAAACCCCAACTCTCACCCAAGTCAGTGGCAAAACTCCCATTAACCTCAGTGGAATCAGGATTTCACTTCATGCGGACTATAGGGTTCAAAGATGCTTCTCCAGTTACGTTGCCCTACAGAACCAATCCCGGAGATGAAAGTACCTTTTATGGGGTGCCATTAAGACATTAATGCCTGCCTGAAGTGTAAGCACTCTGCAAGGGTGTATCATTTAGGGGACCACTTGAAGTCTGCTCTGACCATCTCTTCCCACTCAGCTGGTAGTCTTACTTTTGATCACACGCAGAGAAGACAACACTATGCAGATACCGTGGAACGGGGTGTTGATAATGGGGATGGATGTTGAAAAATATACACTCGTGGAAAGGTGGTACGGGATTATAAAAGTCGCAGTAGCCTCTCTGTTGGCTAAACACTTGCACCCTTATCTCTGACTGTTGCAACACTGAATGCAAACACGTGAGAGAGGAACTCAAGCCTGGACTTGTTGGAGACTTAAATACGTCCAGGCTGAGGGAAGGACACAGCTGACTATTTAGAGGGAGCACAGAGCTCTCCTCCACCGAAAAGGCCTTCCCCTCCTTCAAAAGGGAGGGGAGGATGCCATTGCAACAGATATAATGGCTAGAATGAGAAAAGAATCAGGAAAAACCTCATTATTTCCTGGCGTGAGCAATCTGGGTGGAAAAAGCTTCTTGAGCAATGTCTTGGTAAAAGGCAACCCTAGCACTAACTCAGAAATAACAAATAATATACAGGTGAGTAGCCTTGATTATCCCAAAAGCCATTTTAGTGGCATTTATCACTACAGGATCCAAAAAAAATCACTGAACCACTCTCCAGAGTGGTCCCTAACTGCCACATTTATGTTACAGGAGGCTTTTCATAGCAAGGAGGAATGAGACACCGGCTTTTGCTCAAGAGCCAGGGGAGGAGAGAGGCAGATCTGAAGCCATGTCTTTGGAGACCTCCATGCTTTGCTTTCCCTGTGCAACTGTCCTGTAATCCACTGGCATATACTGTCTCTGTGTCAAAAGGAGGGTTGGAAACATGGTGAATATTTTAAGCCTCCCTGCTGCAGTGCCATTTGCATGTCTGACATCCGAAAGGTTGACCCTGAGCCATGCTTTACATTTCTGGGAGGCAGCCCTGCAAATGAACCACTGCCTTGCAAAGTCAGCCTGGCACAAGAAGACCCCCTGCCACAGAAATGGGGGAAAACCCTTTTTGGGGGAAAACCCTTTTTGGGGGATTGTTTTTAAATGGAAGATTGGATTCTGTAGAAAATATCAAAAACTATGGAGCAGTCTCTGAGTTTCCATTGGCCCCTGGCCATGACATGCAAAAGAAAAGAAGAGAAAAAAAAAAAGGAATAAAAACACTTTTTATCAGTTTGTTCCTTTAGGAGGGCCCAGAACTGTGTGTGTTACAAGTGCCACGTTTCTTTCTTGCACTCCAGTAACCAACACAGATGTAGCAGGGCCAAGAGCTGGATGCTTGCGTTTTGTGTATCTTGGATGTAAGGCGTTGGAAAATCTGCCTCTGAGTTATACAAATGGTCACCTCGTTCGCTGCTGGGAGTTGCATTCCCATTGTTTATTCTGTATTTCTAATATTGACTTTTGTAACTTGTTTAATATCCTGAGGCTCAGGTCAGTATCATTTAGAAATGATTGGTGTTTTTTTTTTTTCATCCCACAAAAGCTGCATTTCATTTCCCAAATTTCTTTTTTGTCACACAGACAACACAGTTATTGATGGGACACTGGAAAAAGGGCAGGGCCAGGTCTTGACTTCTCCTCATCTCTCATTTGTGACATGGATGCAGCTAATAACCTGTAAAATGAATCTCATTGCCATTGTCATGGAGGATGAAAAGCAAGAACCTTGCTTTTCTCAATGATTTACATTGCCTCCAGCATCCAAAGCCCTTCCTAAAACTTTTTAATTGCAAAGGCTGAGCCTCAATCTTATCTTCAGCCTAATTTGTAATCACAGCAACAGACTACAGTCAGACACCAGTACATCATTCCCACTATGAAGAAATTAGTGCTTTTTCCTTGTATTTCTACCACTTTTGTACTCATAACTTACTACATGCCTTCATGAGTGCCAAATCGTTAATTAATGATGGAGGTAATTCATCATCCTGTGTATTGGTAAAACACAATCAGCAAGGAAGCCAGAATGGTAAAAACTCCTGAAAGGATTTATCATAGAACCATACAATGACTAGAGTTGGAAAGGACCTTAAAGATCATCAAGTTTACTTTGCATCTAGTCCCAGGACTGAAAGCAGCAATGAGATGAGACAAACCAGTGAGTGTCAGAGAGAGGAGCATAAACCCCTTGAAGACAAACTGAAGTATTTGTTCTAGAGCTACAGCCACTAAGGTTTACTCTGCTTGGAAATTTAACACAATTTTAAGCCAGGTATCAAGTTCTGTCCCTTCAGAGATGGAAAGGTCAAGGAGCATGTCCTAAACCCATGTCTGCTGAGGAAGCAGCATATATAATCGCTTCACATACAATGATCTCTGCCCTAAAAGACTTAACATCCAAACCTCATTTTTGTGTGCAGCCGGTAGTGTGGGGTGATGCTAAGTCACTCAGGGTTGGTCAAAAGTACGTGACCCATTCTTGTTTCAGTTACATAATCCTTGGGTAGTGTTGGTGAAGTCAGCCATGTGCAAAGGTATCATCTAATTCAAAGCACTTAACAGAGCTCTATATTATGAATACAGTCAGACCAAGTACTTTTCTGCAGTCATTGCAGAGAGACAGCATTGCTATAGCCAACCTAGACTCAGCTAATCCTTCTCTAGGGTTTTCTATCTCTCCCACTCAACAAGAGAGGGTAAACAGCATGTGAAACCAGGTCCTTACTGCAAGCAGGAGTGAAGCATCATCTGTTAAGCACAAATGAGGACTTCCTTCTTCATGGGATGCTCTTAACTGCTCTGATACTACCTTGGCAAGGACCTCATGAGCAGGTTGATACCCAGCTTTCTGCACACCTGCAGAATTTGACCTTTTGCCCCAAAATATGATTTCTGGGTTCAATCATTTTGGCATATCGCACTGCTGCACTACAATCATCATACATAATTCAACGTTTCACTGAATCCTTACACAGATACACAACAGGTTGCTGCATGAGATTAAAGTCCATCTTGGTTTTACAGGAAAATCTGGGGGACAAAGGCAGGGGTTGTAAAAATAGAGCACAGAGTTTTCTAGTAGAGGTTAGTATACTATGTGACAGAAAAACCACTTTCACCCATGAATGTAAAACAATGCTCTCTATCCGGACAGTTTCACTCAGCAGAGACTGTTGCTTACCAAGGGTGCCGTGCTGCTTGCTCACAGGTGTATCTTTTATTAGGGTCCTTCTCCATCAAATTCCGAATGAAGTCTTTAGCTGCAAAAAGAAAGAGAGAATAATTTAAATAGGGTCGATGTCCAGTTCTGCTTGCAGAATGATCAGCCCACAGCATTGACCAGACCACCAAGTGCCATCTGCCCACAGCACCAGAAAATGGCCCTGGGGCATTTGTCATTTATCAGTGTAGATATAACCAAAGTGACTTAGGACCAAATCCAAGCTATTTAATATGGCAGGTAAAAGCTGAAGATATCTACTCCTGTGGGTATATTTAGGAGTGAGGTAGATAATTCAGAGTCAGCAGAGTTCACATCTGCCAGCTCCTGGCTCCCTGGTCACCCATGTGCCTCTGACCATCTTACTGGTCTGAGTATGGCCACATCTGTTGGAGATGGTGGTAAACTGAGTGGGAAAGGCAAGGAGGAGGTCAGGTGCCACAGTAAGAGGAGCTTCTCATTGCTCACTCCAAGCATTTGTACACATGGGCAGCTGTGAGGACATGTCGTGTATTTAAAAGCAAGTTACTGAGGAAAATGGATTCCCTTGAGCATGAGGTAGTGTGTTTTTAATTGACACTATAATGGAGGTAAAAGAGATTGTAGCATGGCATGCATCCAGTAGTTTCAGGAGAGAGCAGCTGAAGGAGCTACAGAAAAGCCAAATATGGCAGGAAAATCTTTGTGCTGATTTAGGTGATGGACTTTCCCCTCAAAATGCAAAGGGGTCTGCCAGCAGACCTTCATATTTTCTCAGAAAACCCCTATGGGCTTAAAAAAACTTCTCATCACATAGATTTTAAAGCAATCCATCACAACGATATCTGGAACGCAGATGTAAGCAGCATGAAATGTTGTTTTATGCAGAGATAACAGGATATATAATCATCTTCTTTTTATATCTCCCCTGCCTTGATCAGTAGTACTAATGGATCAGAAAATTGCATTTCTATGGATATTTTTGTCTGACAAACAGTTCCTAGAATTCATTTCTTCTCCTGTGTGAAACGGCAGATGTTCTGCAGGTTGGACAGAGCAAGGACACGGAGCTCGCGTGCCCTCTTGGAGACCACCAGCACGTCAGTGGCACAGGCAGGGTGCCATGCTGAATGTGTCCCTGCTGTCACCTGTAGACACAGATCCTGGCAGAGCACGAGCCGTGCTGGAGCCAGAAGCCTTCAGGCACGTTTGCCTGTAACAAGGTAGAATATCTGCCTCTCTGCCAGACTGACTGGAGCTATGGATTAAATGGTTTCTGCACCGGATGGGGAACTGGGTGAGCATATGGGCAGCTATGTGGATTTAACCATGCGGATGGGACTCCCAGTTTCTGAATCTGCTTACCCACCTCATTTGGAAGACATTAATTTCTTGGGTTTGTCTTTACTGTATACACTGCAGACTCACTTAGACCTGCAGTACAGTTTTAGTAACAGAGCTGAACTAATTTGCCTTCTTATTATTAGTGACACATAAAACATTTGCATTTTATTTGGATATGATGAAGAAGTTAAACTGCTTTGCCTTCCTGGGACAGTCTTCTGCTGTCTTCATCTTCTGTCCCAGCTATGTTTTAATGCTTTGTGTGTGACTGGATAAACTGGTAGTTAATTTGCTCTCCTGCAGAAATAACCTCCTGTAACAATTTGAGCTAAAATAGATGCACATTCCCAAAGGTTTTCAGTTAAAAGGAGCTCCTCACATGATGGAGGGTGCATCCTCACACCCAGTGAAGGATTATGTGCAACAGGCAGGCATGCACGCGTGGTTGTTGCAATTAAATGAGCAGTAGCTTCTTACCGGACTCGGAGATGTCATCCCAATACGGAGAGTCAAACTCATACTCTGCTTTAAGGATCTGCTCAAAGAGTTTGGAGTCATTTTCGTCGTAGAAAGGGGGATACCCACAGAGCCTAGCGGAGAACAAGAAAAGAGACATGTGACCTTTGGACCCGTCTCGGCCAAGAAGGTGAGAAAGAGGGAAGGAGAAGAAGGAGAAACTCTCATTTAAGACTTGCCCCAATAAGTTTTCGAGCACGCCAACACTACTGTGAGAGAAGTTTGTTCAGGGACGTGTAAACCCGCTTCTGGAGATTGGCATCATCCTGGACAAAGAATTCTGCATGAAAACATGGTGCTGTTGATCCTACACTGACTCATGCAGATATCCTGGCCTCCCTCTACATGCTTTTGGGTGTTTAGCCAGGGGAATAGTTTTATTAGACAGTCACAAGCCCTTCTATCCTGTTCTACACATGTGGTAAGAGGCGTTTTCATGGGCTACACCCTACATCTTCAGAGCACCAGTCCCTCTCATCCCTCAGCACAGCCATCACCCATCCAAAAGTCTTCTCCATACTTGCTTCACTGCTCTGGTTGTCCTCAACTGTTCTCACCTAACACCTTACACAAGCCACTTGCACCAGCTTTACTCTCTCCTGGATGGTGGAGAGACACTGTAGTGGCTCTGCAGACATGTGGGCACAGCAGAGCCCCATGAATCGAGGACACAAGAGGTGACAACACCTACCCAGCCACCTGTATGGCATCAGGATGCACTTTGAGCACAACTGACGGTGTCTATATTGTTCAAGAGATTGCAAATGTATAGGAAGGTTTGTTGCACATCTAGAGAGCCACCAGCTACCTGCATGGGCCTCTTCTCCAGCACACCAAGGAGGAGGACCTGCTGCAAAGCAGGACAAGAAGCCCCACAGAGCTATCAGGTGGAGGGCAGGATGCACCTGCAGGTTGTGCTGGGCTCTGTGTTGCCAGGCACAACAAGGAGGACGTCTGGGAGTCACTCCACCTCCGCAGCAGAGCCTGCAAAGGATGCACATGGACCTGCTGATGCTGTGGAGACACATGGAGAGCTTCTCCCTTTCTCCCTTGCGCAAGTGATTTTGCTGCCCACATCAAATTGCCTGCCTTGCCTAAGGCCAACAACAGTCTTGTCCTGGTTTTCAGTATTTATAATCAGACTTAGAAAATCTAGCCCCAGGACAAGCAGGAGATTGAGCATTATTGCCTAGGTTGAGCTATAACATTCAGGGTCCTGCAGACAGCAGGACAGTAATTCTGCTGAGGCAGGGCTCCTCTAGCCCTGCAGATGCTGGGCATGGGAAAAACCACATCTAGCACCGCATTAAGCAAATGCAGCAACAAAACTCATGTGTCAGAGATCCCTCGTGTCCAGCCAATGCTCCATGCAGTAGTCTGTCCCTCTCTGTGCAAACATGCCAGTAAAGATACTCCTTCAAGTTTTAATATCAGCGTTGCAAAGTGCCAGATCTGCCCCTGAGGCTGGTCCAAGGTTTTAGCAAACCCATCCTGCTCACAGTTGTGCATCTTTTATCTTATGTAGAGATAACATATTTTTTTCTTTTCTATCTAGTCTGTCATGTAAATTATTCTTTCACATACTTTGTTGATATTGAAATTATCTTCTTCCTACAGTTTTCTTAAGCCCTGAGTCAATCAACCTCAATAAAGCATTTAATTGGAGAGGGATGGCCATTACACACAGAGTGAAGATCCAGCTGAAACACTACACTGTAACAACAGAGAAAGTGGAGGGAACTGTAAGAAATGAAATACTCAAGTTATTTATAACCCAAAGCCAGCCTGCTGCCCTGGAGGTTATTTGAACCAGCTCAACACTTTAGGGTGAAAGGAGCAATGTTTTGTTAGCCCTGAAGAGCCAGTGTGCTTGATAAATAATTTAAATGCTGAGTGCGATGTTGATCTGCATCAGACCCACATCGACATGGGAGAACTCTACTGAAATTTGCAGCATTATAATGAATCCACTGTGGTTCGACTGAATCAGAAATTTCTCTCTTTATCTTGTGAAGCAGATGAGCCACTTCCCGTTTGTGTCCCACTGGATGACTGCCGTTATCAAAAGCAAGTAAGACAACCTCATGTCAGACAAGCATTTATGTTCAGAGCAGGACTGCATACCTACCTACTTAATGGGCACACGCTTGTGTAGGGGGCTCGATGCAGCAACTCCTACATGAAACCAAACGGTGGAAGTGGCCTATGAGAAGCGCCATTAAAAATGGTACATTTAAGCAAATGCCAAAAAGCCAATATGCACCTCGATAATGAAGGAAAAATATCTGGCAACCCAATGCAGAAACTGGATCCACAACAAGGATCCAGCTCTACAGGTATCTACGAAGAACATTTCTAGAACTTGCTTTAGTGTAATAAATAGCAGCGCTTACGTCCCACAGTCTGGTGGGGCGATGCACACAAACTGATTTGCACCTTCCTCCTCTTTTGTCACAACCCTCAAGATTTCGGCTGCTTTACTGCAGGGTTTGGAAAGGCTGGAGTTGACAGCACCAGAACTGCAACTGGAGTAGAGATGCCCAGGCTGGAGGAAAATGGATCATCCAAAGGCACTTGGAGCCATCGCTCTGTCCCTCTTCCCTGGGGGACTCGGGGGGTCTGTATAAGGAGCCTGACAGCCCTTCATTAATTTCTTGCTTTCCTCAGCATTTTCCTTAAACAAAACCAAACTGCTCCCTCTGATAAGGCATTTTAAGGGGAGCAGACAGCGCTGTGCATGCCGAGGCGCTGGCGGGCTGCTCCTAAGAGAGAAATAACTCTCGTAAAATGTGCACTGTACTAATTACCTTGGCAAAGGTACAAGAGCACAAGTTCGGGCTGATGTGATTTATACCCACTCATGGCAGCGAAAGGTAAGAGGAAACGGCTGAGCAGCACAGATCTGGAGGGCTATAGCCCTGCAAGGTGGGGAGCAGAGAGACACAAACCCCAGCAAGGGTCCCAGCCTCTCCAGAGCCTTTCAATCCCTTTCCTACACACATCCAGCTCTTCCCCTGCTCTTCTGCATAGCATGAGTACCTGCACATCTGGGGTATCTGGTCCTGGCTTGGGCAGGGATGGGGATGAACCTCCTGCAAAGGGGGACCCAAGGATGTTCCTCCAGCGGGTAAACCACTGAGGACCTCTAACAGATAGCATGTGAGAAGGGAGCAAGATCCTTAGGTCAAAGGAGGTGGCATGTGGGAGGGGGACACCAGGGCATCCTGGCATAGAGAGGGGGTGGGAGCCAAAATATAAGCTGTCTTACTGGCCTTTCCCTTAAAATCAGAGTTTAGGAAGACACAGAAGTTTTAATGTTAATGTTTTAACGTTACTGGTTTTTCAGTAAGGGATGGGAAAGCCCCAGTAAACTAGCCCAACATGCAGCTTACAGCTGGAGGAAGTCTTGCTGGACTTCCAGCAACTGGGCCACTGTCCAAGGTCCATAATAAGTTTTTATTTAATTCTTACAGAATCAAAATCCCACCAACTTCATTTCCATCTGCTGGGACATTGCTGTGTGAAAAAAATGACCTCACTAGCAGAGGTTCTGCTTTTCTTTAGATACGCAGAAATACAAAAATAACTCCTCTGTCTTCAATGTGAAAAAATCCTGCACTGTCCTGCCCCCATGTCCACGGGGCAGCTTCAGGCAGCTATTAATTGTCATCATTTTCTTGCAGTTTCACCAAATAAAAGCTTTTCAGAATTATTTAGCAACCTTATTACATTAGCAACAGATTTTCCCTTAATCTCCTGTTCCCAGTCTTGCCTAAAAAAGAATGGGATGCAGATAAGAAAAACACAGGTGGATGTGCAAAAGAAATATATTGCCAGAACTAATTTCTAGAAGTCATAAGGAGAGCACAAGAGGAACACCAGGAACATCCTGTCCTTACCAGAGAAAGCAAACCCATACAAGCTCCCATTCCATAGTGAGGGTGATATTAAAGGCTAAATAACCCATTTGCATGGTCAGTGTACAACCTGCAACACAAGAGGCACTGGTGTCAGTTTTACAAATAATTTTATAGTGAGATTAGAGCAAAGAATTCAGTAACTGCTCAAAAACCTGAGATGTATGGTGTAGGAAGTAATCCAAGTGCTATTTATAGGAATAAACACATATGTTTCTTATTTTGGGAACAGACCTTCATACTGGCTAACACTGGTGTCCTCATGAAACTGTGGACAAGGACATATTAGCACGGGGAATAAAAAACAAATTAAGAAGCAAGCAATGAGGAGCAATCATTTGGGGTTGTTTGCCCAGTGTTTAACTGTGTTATCCAACATGTCCAACATGTACATTTTGCCTCCACTAATTATCCTTCTAGTACCGAACAAGAAAATTATTCCCCCCTTTCCTGTTTAGGCTTGTGTGCGCTGGTCAGCAGGCGAGATGCCTGACCAGCTTTTCCCAATGCGTGACTCCAAGACGATGGTGGAAACTTCTTCTGGAATAATATACTTTGTACTGTCCCTGGTTAACCTGTACAAACATCATTGATGATTTCATGCACATCTACTTGAAAAATCAAAAGCAACTCAGCAGCAAAGAAGTACAGGGAAGAGTATGATCCAAGATTTATCTCCAGATAATAGTTGCTTATAAATAATGGTAACAAACCAGTAATTCTCTTGTCCTACCAATGAACAGAATCAGAAGAAAACTCAGGGCAAAATGTGTTCAGCCCAGTGCTGAAGAGACAGGAGGTGTTGAATATGAATAACCAAGGGCTGAGTCAGAGCATTCTGTGGCTCTGGGTGCTTTTCCATCTTTGGAACACGATTTTCTGTTTCTTGCACAAATTCACTTAATCTTCTTCATATCAGGTATGCATGCAACCAGTATTTTAGCTCTCCAAGCTTTTGCAACCTCTCATGTGACCCAGACAGGTCCAAAATCCAGCTGCTGGGAATCCAGTAAAGTCTCTTGCTCTTCTTATGCTTCATGTTTTTAAGCTGGACACATATCGAAACTACCTTGTGATAAGTAGAAAGCCAATCTCAACAGCAAGGCTGTTTCAAATTGAGAAATGTTGCAACTGGAATAACAGGAAATTTCAGGCTGCTAAAATTAGTTCGTGTGAGTAATGACTTCTCATGCAAAACAGGTTTTGATAAAAACTCTGCTGGTGCAGCCTCTGCAATCTGGCTGTCATTAAGGAGAAACATTAGAGACTGGCACGGAAACAAAGGTGTTCTTTCCTAAGACATCCTTCACCTTGCATATCACAGAAACAAACATTTGTCTGGAGCGTCGGTGCCCCAGAAACAGTTTGTTCTTCCAGCATCACAAACTGAAGGCTCTCATGTGAGACCGAGTTTGTGTCTGGAGGCACTCAAACCACTCGCAGTAATAATAGCTCAAAGCATCTTTAATTTATGCCTGGCTTCTGTGTTGGATTCCCCTGAGTTTCCATCTTCTTAAATGACAACAGTCTGTTCGGAGTGGCTGTGAGGATCTGTGGGAGAGGTGGAGAGGTGAAGCAGGATGATTTGCTTGGATAGCCCTGTGCATAAATACATCTCCAACGGGTTTGGGCACGTGCAAGTTGCTGACTGTGGAGCTGGAAATGGCAGATCTGGATGGGTGCGGTGATATATCTGAATTAATAACTCTTGCTCAGGGCAGGATTAGCGACCAGCATTGCACCAAGGTGGATATGCTGCTGGTGCTCGTGGCATCTCAGCACCGTGTTGCAGGGTGAGCATGCTGGCTCTGCTGCTGCCGGTGGTGTGGCACTGCTGAGACAGCACACTTAGCTGTTAAACCTGTGCCCATCACTGGTGCTATCAGACACCCCTGCAGGGCTACTGCCTGCCAGCTTAGGGAAGGATGCCTCTTCCTCTCTGTTTTTACCATACCCCTGACATCCATCTTGCGAGGCCATGGCTGCAGTTTCTGGCTATTCCTGGAAGCTACGATGAGACCCGGTTCAAGATTAGGACACGTATAATGTGGTCTGTGTTTCTAAGCTCCCATCGCAGTCAACAGAGATGGAGTCAACCAAGACTGGAGATTGGCACAAATGTATGATGAAACCATACTGTGAAGGCAGGGGACTGCGTACAGAGCAGGGTGTGATCCAGTAGCCTCAGCATGGGTATCTGGTGCTATTCAACACGGTCCATGGTCTCCTGCTTGGCATCCACCTGCCACTCCAGAAATGTGTTACACTTGCCAAATCCATGTGGCTGTCCCAGACAACCCAGTGTGGCACTAAATGTGTATGTCTAGGCAACTGAATGGCACATCTTGTTGAAATGACTGCTTGCATTGACCTGGGCTGGATTGAGGTGCCCACATGTAGAGCCCAGTACCACTGGAGGAGCTGTCAAGTTCATAGGAACCTTGACCCCAGCTGGCAGCTAATGCCATGGAGGGCTGGACTGTCCTGCAGCCACTGTCTGAGACCAGGCAGGACACTGTAGGTAATTGAAACAGCACTAAGCACCTAGGTCAGGGTAACCAAAGCGAGCCCTGCTGCGTTGCTGATTGTAACAAGAGCTGAAGGAGGCAGCTCACATGCAGAAATATTCAAGGAGGTGGTTTGATCTCAGCCCCAATCCCACCCAAGCAGTAGCAGTCTGGCAAACACATTACCACACTCCTTCTATGGCAATGCCTTATGGCCATTCATTTTGACTGTACATGGTACAAATCAGCACACAAAGCACAGAAACCCTGAAAAGGTTTCCTTGTCCTGCAAACGTGAATTCACAGAGAGTCATAAACTGATTTTAGCCTTCAGGATTGGGAATTCCCCGTACAGCAAATGGGAATTTAGATTTGAGGAGTGTGTACACTTTTCTTGACAAGCCCAGCACATGCGGATTTGGAAAACAGAGCAGGAAATCACCGAGCTGAACCTGGCAGAAAGAGCAGCCTCGCTCAGGAAGGGGGGCAGGGAGGTTTGTGGATGAGATTGAAACCTTCCACCTATTGAAGATGTGTTCATTAACTGGGTGGTGGAGGACACATTGATTAGCACTGCTTCATCCATATTCCTCAACAAAACATATAAAAGCAACAAGGGAAATAACAAGTCTGCCAGCATAAAAGACCCTTGGTGCATGAGCCATGGTTGAACGGGACTGAAAACTTGGAGGAAAGCAGAGCCAAGCTTACCTCCAGGCAACCAGGACACAACAGTTCACCCCTCCTGTGGGCTGCCATATTTTCACGATGGATATTTGAAAGTGAGGCAGTGTACTGCCGTCTTGAACTTGCATCCTCCTTCAGAGAGCAGGAATCTCTCTGAAGCTGGTATCCAGCAAAGTACTATGAAAGCAACAGAAAAGACTCTACCTGATTGTCCTGCCATGACTGGCAAGGACCAAAACCATCAAAAAACCCCAACCCCTAGGCCTGCCATGCTCAGGTTTGCTTGTGGAAGATGCCAAGTTTGGGTCAGCACCCATGATCCTCATCTAAAAGAGCATGAGGGAATGATGTGTGAAGCAACCTCTGAAGTATTTTGGCATGTCTCCTGTCTTCCTCACGGGTGTACCATGCCCTGCTGGGCTTTGCCACAAAGTCAGAATCGGCACTGTTGATTTTTGCTTTGTTATGCAAAAGTTTTTCACATCCTGCTGCTGATGGTTGCTCCAAGATAAATCCAACCCCCTGCAAAGCTTTGTACTCAAGAAGTTTTCAAATATTCATGTAGATTGGCAAACCCAGTCATAAAGCTGATGTTTTCAGGCAGGGCTTTGTTTTAAATAAATAAATATACATGCAAATAAATATACTATCTTACTATAAAGAAGTTGTTTTGGGCAGCATATAGCTTATACTCAAGACTAAATGAAAATGTAAAGAACGAACATTTGCACAGAGTGGATAATACAGCAATGAGGTTTGATCTGGCAAAAAATAGTTCTACTACACCATCAAAAAGGTATTCATGTTGACAAGCCATGAAATGTTTGCATAAGGAGAAAGAGAACAAAGTAGGAATGCTTTAATGCTGTGCCTCATTGGAGCTGCTTTTTCCTTCAGTCTCGTATAACTGTGACAGTTGTGTAAAAAGGAAAAATAAAAAAAATGGGAAAGCACTGGTAATGCTGGCATGAAGACACTTGTTTCTGCAGCAGACAACGGCTGCACAGCAGCTCTGTGCCCTCTTGCACAAAAGGAACAGGCTTGTTGTGCTCCGCGCGGTCACCCTGGGTGAGCCCATGGTGACAGCCTGACCTCCTCTTGAAGACCCGCATGAATAGCTCTGGCTTCAAAGTCTACTACGCTGTGTGGAAGCAACCAATGCAATTGTTATCTGAATTACATACATGAACTCATGCATGGACCCAAGCCCTGAGCACAGACCACCCCATCAAGACAGGTCCCTAAGCTAGAGGAAGTCTTCCTACACTTTTACAGACAACAAGTCCTGCATTTTCCTTTCAACCCAAATATTAGCAGTGATTTAAGCTGAAAGAGGGTAGATTTAGACTAGACATTAGGAAGAAATTCTTTACTGTGAGGGTGATGAGGCAGTGGCCCAGGTTGCCCAGAGAAGCTGTGGATGCCCCATCCCTGGAGGGGTTCAGGGCCAGGCTGGATGAGGCTTTGAGCAACCTGGGCTAGTGGGAGGTGTCCCTGCCCATGGCAGGGGGGTTGGTCCCTTCCAACCCAAACCATTCTATGGTTCTATGATTTCATATACTCATGCACACAGGGCTGGATTCAGATGACGTTGCCCTGAAATGTCACGGGTGCCCTTCTCTGAACAGCACTAATGATGCTCGGTACCATGCTATCCCTGTGACAACAGTGGCCAGGACACCTCTCTGATCCTTCCAAGTGTTGTCGCTGGTGTAGGAGGTGGCTTATCTACTTCCATGGCATTGAAGGTGCACCCGCATCTAGAGTACTGGCTCTCCCATTTCATGGAGACAGGTCTGTATACAAAACCTTCTCCCCATGAGGACAGTCAAGCAGTGGAACAGGTTGCCCACAGACCTTGTGCAGTCTCTGTCTTTGGAGGAATTCCAAGACCCAACTGGATAAAGCCCTAGACAACATAGTCTGACCTCAAGGACACGACTTCCCAAGATCCACTCCAATCTAAATTATCCTAGTAAGCCTTTGTGAAGAAGGGTGGCAGGTACTGAATGAGGACAGGCACTAAATCTCCACAAACATATGAGTTCTGAGACCTGTACACCTGTTTGGTGAATGCACAGAAGTCCTGGTCTTGTAGCTTTCTGAAGCAACCAATCCCCACTCCTCTGAGCAGCAATTAGCCCCAAATCTCAGCCATGAATGCAGAGGCTTAGTGGCTTGATGGAAGAGTGACAGAACTGACAGGGCAGAAATCAGCTCACCCTCTCCTATGGGACCTGATGGTTGGATGTGTTAAGAAAAATGACACCTCATTTCAGTAAATTCTCGATACTTTGTATTACATTTTGATGATAATAATTCACTGCAGCGCATGAAAAGCTCTTCCCCCCTTATGCCCCTCCGTGCCCTCACCAGGGAATGAAGAGCCATTATGGTGGCACCTTGAGAGAAGTGGCACTTCAAGACACATCTGTGGGCATGATGCTGTGCTTTGTGGACATGGCCGTATTTGTTTCTTGTCAAATCTAACCTGAGCAAGGGAGGGAATAGTTTCGCTAACATCATAACATACTATTGGGAGCAAGGATTTTTGCTTTTGAAGGGTCTTGGTTCATTTCCTACCACTTCTGCCCAAATTTCAGCCTTTTTGTAACTGGGAGGTGTCCAGGGTTCATGTTATCCTGCATCACAAGTGTCAGATTAACTTTTTTGGCCCAGACTAAGTCGGTAACTATAAGGTATGAGAACACGTTGCAGGTCCCAGAGCTGCCTGTGACTGAAAACCCAACAGATACTCACAGGATGTACGCGATGACCCCGATGGACCAGCAGTCCACGGCTTTGCTGTACGGCTTCTGGGCCAGCACTTCAGGAGCTGAAAATTAAAAGCCAAACAAGCATGTTACAAGACCAAACATTTGAACGTGGTCAGGAGGTAGGACCCTGAAGCTTGAAGCTCCCTGAGACCTTGTGTTGCCCTCCAGATAGAGCCCTTGCATTTGCAAATATCCTGATGTTTTCAGAGCTCATATTTTCACCGAGAAGGACAACTCCTAAAGTGGAGCAAATTTCCCATTTTCTGACTCCAAGGACAGAAAACAAAACCAAGCACAGAAAAAAGCGTGAGAGACAGAGGGCCATCACCTGCCTGTCAGAGGAACTTTAGGAGACTTGGAAGAAAATGAGGCCAAGCTTTGCATGGGTGCGGAGACGCACATTCACCCTGACAGCCTTGCAGCTCCACCGTGTCGCACTGCCAAACCCAGGATTTCCAGAGGCAACTCAGGAAGTGCAGTGTGTCAGGGAGGTGATAAAGTACATGTGCAGGTGAGGAAGAAGAGCTGTCCCCACACCTCCCAACAGCTGCCTTCCAAAGGCTCACAGATACCAGCCAGAGGGAGTCACTTGTCCTTCTGCCTCTGGGAGAGCTGACACCTCAGAGTCAGGAATTGGACACATGCACAAAGGAACTGAGCCTTCTGCCTCTACGGCTTTGAGCCACCATAGCCGGAATTTTGCTAGAAGTGAGAGCCTGGGCATTTATTGAAATTCTTTCTGGGTCTGCTTTCCTTTCTTACACCACTGAGAGTTAGAAACGTGCATTTTTTGTTTGGGAGCCTGGAGTGTTATGTTTTACCTGTTGGGACCTTTCAATACAAATGCTTAAACTAAATTTTAAAACACTGTGACTCTAATCTTTTTCATGTAAAGAAGCTTTTGATTTTTTTTTCAAAGCAAAAGGTCCACAGTAATGCAAGAAAACAATGCTCGTGGCATTCCTAAAGCAGACTTGACACATTGGCTTTCAAAAAGCACAGCATTTCCTTTGAGTACTTTGGAGTTCAAATGCTGCAAAAAATCATGAAGGGGCAACTTCCAGCAAAAATATTTCTTTGGGGTTACACTTTCCTCTGCTAGGAGTCTTACCAACATCAAAGCAGTTAGTTACTTGAAGAATAGTGAAAAATTTGTGAAGCACATAAATGTATTAAAACTTGAGCCTCACATTTAGTTGCTCCATGTGCTTTGGTGTACTGGTAAGGATTCTTCAAAGAGTGATCTTCTTAAGCCAGACAAGTCAACAAAACTAAGGTCAAAACTGCCAGTGAGAAAGGGAACAGGAAGCAATAATTAGAAACATAAAATAATTTCTGGTGCTTGGGCATGAGAGCTTGTAGAAGGAACTGAAGGGAAGGCAGTGCATGAGGCAGATGTGGGCATCCAGGTTGCATTTCCACAAGCGGCAGAACAATAGAAAGGGTCAACTCACACCAGGGAGACATTGTAAAAAAGAAGAAAATCCAGGGGAATGTGGGTAAAAATATAGCTGCCAGCCAGATTATGAAGACTCTTCATTGAAGATTGGGATATGCTCCAATTGGCAGCACAGGGTAAATATCTCAGTCTCCAAGTCAGCCAGCAAACTGGGACCACTGCATGTATAAGAAATTGAAATGATGGTTCTGTGGGTATATTGTTAATCCTAGTGCACTGTTGTGATGTGTGACTACTCCAACAGCTATCCACTACATGCCAAGAAAGTTTCTTTCCCCCATACCTAGCATGAACACCTCCTAACCTGGCCCAAGGTGCTTGGCAGAAACCCACACCCCAGTTCCCAAGAATTACCCCCAAGTTTTCCTCTAAAAAGAATCTTTTTTTTTTTTTTTCAAAATGTGCATAAATAGGGTTTGTGAAACACCGTTTCCCTTTTTGTCCCATCCCTTGTGACTGAATTTTGTGACAAAATATGCTGAAGAAGATAGTTCGTTTTCCCCATCCTTAGGTGATTAGAAGTCTTCCAACTCTCCAGTCCTTCCAAATTCCCAATATTTTATTCACATATGTCATCTACCTTTGACTGTCTGCTCCTGTTTGCATCATTTTCAAGACTGGTAAACATTATACATCTTATATCCCCCGAAGAAAATATTATGCAAATGGTTCCTGAGCACCAAGGATCCTAGCGAGCTCCTGACATTATACAGATATGCCACATTAACATAACAGAAAACAAATCTGAGACGAGGGGATGTGAACTATATAAAGATTCTTCATCTTAAAATATCAAATCTGTGCTGGGGCATTTCTCTCTGTTTTAAATGAGTAAAGAGCACTGATAACAGACAATTGCTGCTGTGGATGGTGGATGTGAAGCACCAAAGCCAACATAATGCTATTACATCCCCTTTGGTAAACTTTAATGGAGAAAGGCAGGAGGTTTAAATAATTATTTTCAGGCCAAATGGCTGCTTTTGATTTTTGTTCCAAAGAGCAGCCATGGAACAGGAATGGGAGAACACAGCTAAGCATCATCTGTCTCTGATATATGGAAAAGACAGAAATATTTAATGAGCTGAAGAACAAGTCAGAGGAACTCTTAGAAATTATGGTAGGTCAGTGCCAAGAGGCAAAAGCAGGAGACGCAATGAAAAAAAATCCAAGAGTGATGGAATTAAAGGATCAAAACAGACAGCTGAGGAGACAAAACAGCAGTAAGGAGAATGGGAAAGTCAAAGCTCCCATTTGTGGCACTGGGGAAATGCCAGCTGAGCTTCCAGTATTGCACCTCACCAGGGAATCACTGTGGGCTCAAATGCTACACAACAGTCAGCCAGAGATGGGGAAGTCAAGGAACCAAGCCTAAACCCTTCCTCCACATCCAGGAACTGTGTTTCAGACCAAATCAGCATTGCTACTGGCAACACGTGGCAGGTAAAATGTCGGGTAATGGTCCCAGCTGTAGGTGAAGGTTGTGCTTCCCAGGGCACTCCACATTCAGGCCAGGTGATCCGCTGTTTTACAGTTACGGTTTTCTTTGTTTTGTTATGTTTTGGTTTTAATAAGAGAAAAAAATAAAAAGCTTGTTTCAAATTGAGGTTTTAAGAAAAGCTATGGAACAGGAACATTTGGAAACCTTTCAGAGCAGTATGCCCTTACCCCCAGCACAGCTATTGCCAATTAGCTCCCTAAAAATGCAGCTGCTGGATGCCAAAACCAGCAATCCATGTTTTTGCAAAGAGCTCAAGTCGTGGGGATTGCTCTGATACTTTAAGCCTGTTGAACAAACTGTACAAGTCATGAGGGTGCCTGTTCTTCATACCAGGCTGATTCTTAAAAGCGATTCTCCTTCACTCCCATGATGGTGCTACTGCTAGCAGATTTTGCTGTCTCACAAGAACTCCGTCTAATGCTATTTTCTGTGGTTTATGTGACTTCCCACAAGCTTCATGCCAGAAGGAAAAAGCATTTGAACAAAGGGTGATGGTTTTGAAGATCCCCATAGGAATGGCAAATCAGCAGGCTGCCGTAAATGTGGGAGGAATAAAAAGATCTCAATAGGCTTAAAATAACCAGGGACCTGCTTACACTGGGCAGGGACATAGCTCAGCTGGCCAAGCAAATTGGCCTGGTGCAAGCCAGGACTAGCAGTTCGGCTAGTAACTATTTTATTGCCAGTCTCCATCATGTAGGCAGGTCCTGTAAAGAAAGGGAAATGGGAATGGGCTGCACAGGTACAAGATGACCATGAAATCTGAGAGGGAAGGTGAGTAATGGGCAGAGTTTGTAAGGGACACCAAAGGGAGATGGTGCCAGCCATGACTTTGCTTACGACTCAAAGGTACAACCTCAAGAAGATGGACAGAGAGGCGCCTATAAACAGGAGGGGGAGCGACTACTTACATGGGTTGATAGTGACAGGATGAGGGGAATGGCTTTAAACTAAGAGAGGGGAGATTTAGTTTGGATATTAGGTGGAAATTCTTCACTCAGAGGGTGGTGAAGCACTGGAACAGGTTGCCCAGAGAAGCTGTGGATGCCCCATCCCTGGAGGGGTTCAAGACCAGGCTGGACAGGGCCCTGGGCAGGCTGCTCTAGTCGTTGGCAACCCTGCCCAGAGCAGGGGGGTTGCAACTAGATGATCTTTAAGGTCCTTTTCGACCCCGGCCATTCTATGATTCTATGAACAACTGAGAAGATGGTTGGATGCACAAAGGGGCCAACCCAGGCCCTCTCCTGAAGCCAAAGATAGTGCAAGAACATCCTTCTCATGGTACAAACAGGCTAAGAGGCATATGAAGCAGCTTCACCAAGACCAGAGTCCCTGTTCCACTGACTCCTGAGATGAAAACATTTCCTTTCCCTCTTGTGAACAGTCCTCCAGTCTTCATCTGGTTCTGGTTGACCACGACTTTGCAGTTTGGTGCTGTTTCTGAAGGACCGCAGGGTTTCAGTGCAGCTCTTGTGTCTTCTTGTCCTCCTGTTGTCCGTACTTCATGTTGCTGAGTCAGATTTAGCTATCTGCCATGGAACGCAATGCAGCTACAACCACACACAAGCAAACCCAATTTCAGGATATGACAATTAAGCTGAGCGATCACACTGTCACAAGCTTGTGCCTGAGCAAACCCTGGTGAGAGCAGTTCCCATGCTTTATTTTTACTTTATTGCTCATGTTACTACCTAAACAACTCCTGGATTTGCTTTTTGTTAATAAGGATATTCCAAAGACTTACTGAATATTTTCAAACTTTTGATTCAAAGGATAACGAATAAGTCAAACTTCAACATGGAAACCCATTGCTTCTTTAAAAGCTTTGGTCTTGCGCAGGGCTAAGAGAAATACATGGCTTTGATATGATCTGAAATTTCTACTGGGTTTCTGGCACAGCTGAAATGACCTTTCATAGAAGCACTACAGAGAACAAAACCAGTGACCAAAGTGGGGCGTACAGGGACCAACCACACATCCAGGGTCCAGTCCAATCCCTACGACAGGGAAATACAAGAAAATTTTACTTGAAGTTGGGTCGGGACTCAGAGCAAGAATTTTAAATCTCAGTAGGATGAAGATACTATCCAGCCACAAACACA